TGTGTGTGCGTGCGTGTGTGCGGGTGTGTGTGTGTGTGTGTGTGTGTGTGTGTGTGTGCGAGTGTGTGTGGATGATCAAGAGGAAAATTTAATGTGGGGGCAACATCTTACCCCACATTGCTTAGATGTGAATAAGTGGATTAAAAATCAAATAAGACATTTTTTACCCTTTTTGTTGTGTAATGGGTGTACCCTGGAGATTCCGGGATCTTTTTCCTATTTAGGACATCTTTCAACATAAGGCTGTTAGAAAAAAAATTGAAAAAACGTCTGATCTGTGAGCTCTTTGTCACTAGAAGAAGCACATGATTTCAGTTAATATGTTTATTGTGGAGCAAATTCTTCAGAAATGTAATGTTGCTTGAAGGAATGCATCTTTCCATAATGCATACCAAGATTAAAATTCCCATGCATTTTCTAATAACTATATCACTGTCGTCTTCTGTCTGCATTTATTTTTACGACTGTCATCACCAAACATATGCACTAAGGGACTGATTCAACACAGAGCGTCAACAAACTCCATATTTCACGGCAGACCAGAAGTCCTCCTCCAGATGGCATGTTTGACAGGCCTGTGAGAGATCACTCATTAGACAAACGCTAGTCCAAGCTGTGCTCCATCTGCAGAAGGCTGCTGCTTTCAGTGTTTGCTCTGACAGTAACTGGTGTTAAGTGGATACACCAGACACCCATCTAGAAACAAAGGGCTGTCCACCTATCCCAACCCCCACCATTTTAGCTTAGACTGTAGAAGTCAAACCATCATAAAAATATGCTCCCCTTTACCTCCCTTTTGCTTTGTGGTTCTATATATTTATCTTCTTGGCAAAAATACATTTTCCCTGTTTCCAACATCAGCCAAGATGTAAGACATGAACTTCAGAGCTCAAATGTGGGGGAGTGGACTGTTTGAACTTCACGTTCTTGAGTTTGTGTGATGTTTGGAAAGAGGTGAGAAGAAGGGGAGAAGATATTTGCCCTTTAGGACTTGTGGACTTTTGATTATTTTGCGTTGACATGCCGAACACAGTGT